TTTGATGTCCAAACTGTTGTTAATAAAAAAAACTCTCTACAACTCATCCTGTACCTGGTACTTGAATACCTTATTAAATCACTGTCCTGAGTGTTTTGATGTCCAAACTGTTAATAAAAAAAGCTCTAAGAAAAACTAAAACGTAAAAACCACACAAGTTGATGATTTACTGTTACGCTTGTAACAATAACTAAAACGTATAAACTACACCAGTTGATGCTTTACTGTTACACTACTAACGATAACTAAAACGTATAAACCACACAAGTTGATGATTTACTGTTACGCTTGTAACGATAACTAAAACGTATAAACCACACCAGTTGATGCTTTACTGTTACACTACTAACGATAACTAAAACGTATAAACCACACCAGTTTATGCTTTACTGTTACACTACTAACGATAACTAAAACGTATAAACCACACCAGTTGATGCTTTGCTGTTACATTAGTAATCATAACTAAAACGTATAAATCACACCTGTTGATGCTTACATGACTGTTTAGGTTTTGGTTTTCTGCTTCGGAAGAACTTGTCGTTCTTGTAAGCCACAAACTTGATCCTCACTTCTCCAATTACGTCCGCTTCAATTGTTTTAACAGCTTCAATAGGAACGAAGATTAACGATTCCTACGAGAGGAAGAGTTTTCTTTTAATCATTCAAAACTGGTTAAAACTTCCAATAATTTCATCTTCAGATTAGTGCGTACATAGACCACAATATGGATTATCCCAAGAAAATAATCCACTGGGACAATGGAATAAAATGTATAATGTGTAAAATTATAGGTATGGAAATATTAAACAATTTTAGAACTAAGTTATAGGCTTATAATGCTAGAAGTCGGTGTTCGATTCTTAATATGGCGAGAGCGCAGATTCTCTACTCTCCAGCTTTGTACTTAACAACAGCAAATATTTAGGCTTAATATTAGTGAAATTGCATATTTTTTCCACATTGCTCTTAACTTGGCCATTCCGTATTTTAAGGGACATGGCAAGGCCTGGTGGTTAGGACACTCGACTCGAAACCTGTGAGTTGCGAGTTCGAACACCATCACCGAACATGGTTGCCCTTTCAGCCGTGAGGAATATAATGTGACGATCAATCCCGTTTTTCCTTGTTAAATAGTAGCCCAAGAGATGGCGGTGGGTTGTGTTGACTAGTTGCTTTCTCTGTAGTCTGTCGCATCTAACTTAGGGGGCGGCTAGCGCAGGTAGCCCTCGAGTAGTATTGCATGATATTCATCAAACAAATCGGACTTCAAAATAACATTTCTGATTTATCCTTCGTCTCTCACAAATCACTACCTACGAGGCCTTTCTTTTAATACCATAACTCGTGAGCTAGGCTGGACAAAGAGAAACAAGTGTTTTTTTCTGAAACATACAATATTGGTTTCCAATTCTTCTAAACAAAATTGCCTTTAAACCATAACTTTGAAAATAAACATATAAATAAATGATTAATAATGTTTATTGTGACTGGAGTTTTAACAATCTTCTGGTCAGTGATTTAACTGGATATTTGGTAAGCTCATATCTGACTAAAACAAAGTGTGAGGTTGTCTTTTAACCCTCTATGTACCATGTCAGTTTTCACCCTAATTATTCCACCTCCTATTGTACTCCAGTCTAAGATAGTGTTGTGTTGAACTAACTATATATTTAGACACCTGACAACAAAGAGCCACTTAATACTTGAAAAACAACACACTTTATTACAGGAGATGTGGAATCGAAGCTGTTGCTTGCCATATTACAGAAGATGTGGAATTGAAACTGTTGCTTGCCATATTACAGAAGATGTGGAATTGAAACTGTTGCTTGCCATATTACAGAAGATGTGGAATTGAAACTGTTGCTTGCCATATTACAGAAGTTGTGGAGTCGGAGCTGTAGCTTGGCCATCTGTTCACTTGTGTCTGTCTCCGCAGTGATGTTTCATCTTCACATTCTTACTCAAATGAAGCGTTCCTTTCTTCCTCTGACTTGTTCTTCAATTTGATCAGCATCATTTTCATATTCTGATCCCTACTTTTTTTCCATGTCGGTTATTTTATCTTCTCCAAACCCTTAGATAATGGCTCTACACGACATTCTTGTATCCCCAATTTCAGCGAGATGTCTAACAGAATCACAATTAATAGAATCTGCACTTGACTACATAGTAAACAATGACAAGTGAGGCTGCTCATTGGCTTAAAAACCATCTTTAAAACTGCTTCTAGAATGTTTTAGACAATTTCCAGAAAATTCTCTGGGTGGGGCTTTATAACTTGCTCCAACATTTCATGGGCAAAGTTACATCATAGATGTAAAACAAGAAGAGTTATAAACTCACCTCAGGAGTATCAGTACAAAAAGCAATCAAGACACGTGGGATTGAAACGGTACTCAGTTTTAGTTACTAAAGTTTCTATTACTGAATCACAGCCACTGTGTCTCAATCAGTGCTAACTGATATAGATTTTAAGTTGAGTCAGGTGAAAATACAGCTCAGATGGTATAACTAGGGTTAAGTTCAGTCAAAACCAAGAGAAAAGTACTTAAACAAAAGACTTAACTTACAAATAAAATTCTTATAAGTTTAAGTTTACTAACCCCAGTTATTTACCTACATCTATCTCCCCCTCTCCCACTGTCTCAGCTGTAAGCGTGAGGATTTATAACTATATAAATTGCGGGTTAAATCCCTACAATGGAACAGCGTATCTAGCCCATTAGGCTTAACAACAAAAACAATTATTCACCTGTTTCTTTTTTTCGTTATAGTTGGTCTTTTCTGAGAAATTTCGGGATTCAGAGCCATTGGATAGTGTTGTTGAAAACTTCAAAACATTCCTCGCGCTCGTGGAGAGTCCTGGTGCCCAGGATAAGGCCTTCAGCGCAATATTGTCCGTTTCGAGTGAAATACTCTTTCCTTCTTCAAGCTTCACCTCGGATGTGTATTTGTCTACTACGTTACGTAACCTAGAAAGTTTATGGAGAAAAATTATGGCACTACAAGGAAAGGATAAATAACTCCATAGTCACCCAATATGGCACTACAAAGGTTAAATAACTCTAAAGTCACCAATATGCCACTACAAAGAAAGGTTAAATAACTCCATAGTCACCCAATATGGCACTACAAGGAAAGGTTAAATAACTCTAAAGGCACCAATATGGCACTACAAAGAAAGGTTAAATAACTCTAAAGTCACCAATATGGCACTACAAGGAAAGGTTAAATAACTCTAAAGTCACCAATATGGCACTACAAGGAAATGTTAAATAACTCTAAAGTCACCAATATGGCACTACAAGGAAAGGTTAAATAATTGAAACAAAAGTACTTCGCACCACCGATTATAAAATTAAAAACAGCTAAATCGAGGTTTATAAAAAACATAAAATATTACGAAGTTTCACCAAGTTAACATAAAAAACAAAGTACTACGACATTTCACCAAGTTATAACGTGAAATATTATCATGAATGTTATCATGCTCTTTAAAAATAGGTGTTTTATTTTTTTACTTCGTGAGTCACAAACGTAGCCAAAAGTTCAATCGTACATAAACTTTATGTTTAAAACAACCAACAAAGTTTTACATGATTCGAAATAGTTTCTTGCACTTGTAAGGTTGGGCGTGGCTTATTGGTTAGCGTGCCTAGCTGCGGTTCGAACCTGCGATAATCCGCTGAACAAGCCAATCCAATTTTCTAGGCGCTAGATGCTGCTGACTGTATGCTCTTTCTATGGGCAACAGTTCCAAATGAAAGACGAATGTGAGTGAACTTTGGGGTCTTAGATCTGTGGCTATTTAACCCATTTGTCACATAGGTGTTTCTCAAGTTAAAAATGCCAAACCCGTTGAAGAAGGGCTAAATTTTATCACAAAAAAAAATCATTTTGCTTTTTTTAATCACCATTCATTACACTCTCTGCTGGAGATTTTGAATAGTCGTAATGTGATCAACCCCGGATCAAAGAGTAATGGGCCTCAAAGCCATTACTAACAGGAAAATCTCGAGATCCCCAGTGTCCCTGTCTTTTACCAGTGATTATAACCTAGGGACAGGGACACTGGAAATCTCGAGACTTTTCTATTAGTGATTATTACCCGGGAAGTCTCGAGATTTCCAGTATTCCTGTCTTCTATCAGCGATTATTACCTGAGAAGTCTCGAGATCCCCAGTGTCCCTGTCTTCTATCTAACAAAGCCACAGCCGTAGTGACAAAAAACTATACCTAGTATAATTTAAGCAAAATTTCCATTTTCTTAACTAACAACTTTAGAAAGATGTTTTTAAAAATTAACCTGTTAGAAGTGGTCCCGTTATCGTCTGCTTCAGTTAGAATGCTTTCGTTTAAAGCTAAAATGTTGCTGACGACGGACAACATATTCTGTGCGATCTGAAAAACAACAAACATATGTCAACTTGGTAACTAAAAAAAATAAATAACAACACCAATATAAAACAAAACAACATCATGATCTTTTGTTTTAGCCTAACAGGTAGTGAATTGGAACTTCTTAATTAACGTAAATATTTTAAAAAATATTAGTAAATTAGTAACGTCAGTGCTTCAAATCATATATATAAATATTGGTTCACTGTGGTGAGTAAAAGACCAGTTAAAATACCACATATATAACATACACTCCACCATTACAACAAATCAAATATTGTTTTTCAAAGTTACTGGTGAGGGCTCGAGCTCCCTGAAACCAGTATAACTCAGCGACAAGTGGTGAGTTAAATGATAATATTCTTCGTATTTATTTTTAATATAAAAATATATTGTTACGACAGCGGAAGTCACGTGACTCTGGTAACACGTGATGAATTTCTCGAATGATCATGAATGATCGAAGAGGCCCGACTGCATTCGAGACGCCCCCTTTGTTAGTATATAAGCCTGGCAGAGAAGCCAGCGATAGATAGATAATTAAGGAAGCGAACAGTAGTGACGGTAAGTAAAGTGTGTGAATCATTGTGATTTATAGCGTGTATTATAAAAGTAGTTAAGTTTAAAGTGACGAAAAACGTACTGATTGTGAAAGTACTGTTTGTATCGAGGAAGAATAAACTGGTTTAACCAAGAAAGGAATTGTATCGCTTAAGTTCCTCGGAAAGAATTTATACCGGAAATTATCAAACAAGCAGATAGGCAACAATATTTAGACATAGATATTTAGATATAGACATGAACTGGTAAAGCTTGTTTTTTTCCCCCTTCAGATAATACTATTAGGTAAAATATACTCCAGATTTCCGTAAATACTTGAGTTTGTGAACACAGAATGACTTGTTGAGCATAAAGTCACGGTGTTATGTTTTTTCTTCAATATTCAAATAATAATTTCAAATTGAAAGGTTGTCCTCACTTTTGATGAGAGTTTTCAGTTTTAATTACGAAAACAATGAATAATTTCGTTGTCCAATCATAGATTGGCTGAGCGTTGTCTCGTGGTTGTTACCAGAAGATCCTAGGTTCGAGCCGTGATATGCCGCTGAACATGATATGCACCTTCAGGTGTGGTAGCGTGCGTTATAAAAGAGACATTCAGTCATGATATTCGGTTAAGGGTAGTCGTGTAGGTGGTGGGTGGTTCTTACTAGTCCTCCTTTGTCGTTAGCAGTTCTAAATTAGAGACGTCTCAGACTTGGTCATTTAGCACACGTATTTTACTTGTGAATGTCTTACCTGGTTTAGGGACTTCCAAAGATAAACTCAAACTATACTACGTTTATTACCTACTAAGAAAGCAGTCTTAAGGTAACTTAAGAAGCCTTTATATTCTGAGAACATTAAAGAGGCAGAAGCAAACTTACGTACAAACAAGTTAGTACATCGTATTTTCTACGTACATTGGTTGATATACGTTGGTATATCATCTTTTCTACCTTCTAGCGGTTGACACGCCATATCTTTACCCGTAAGTGATTGATACGTCATATTTTCACGTGTTTGCATATATTACGAGAGAAAAAATAGAACAACAAAAACCGCGTAGATGCAAACCTGAAAGTAAACATTTGATTTACAAGTTACAAACATCCATGTTAACATGCTATTGTGAATTTCTTACTTCATATCCTGCTTGTACTATATTTATGTTACAAAAATACTTCCATAAAACAGGATCGAAATTTTCAAAGGGAATACTTTGAGTTTTTTATAATCTTTAAGAGTTCTTGCATTTTTAAATGAATTTCAAAGGGGATACATTGAGTTCCTTTAACAATATTTAAAGGATTGTGAGCTTGTCGATGAATATCAAAGGGGGATACATTGAGTTCCTTTAACAATATTTAAAGGATTGTGATCTTGTCGATGAATATCAAAGGGGATACATTGAGTTTCTTTAACAATATTTAAAGGATTGTGAGCTTGTCGATGAATATCAAAGGGGATACATTGAGTTCATTTAACAATCTTTAAGGGATTGTGAGCTTGTCGATGAATATCAAAGGGGATACATTGAGTTCCTTTAACAATATTTAAAGGATTGTGAGCTTGTCGATGAATATCAAAGGGATACATTGAGTTCCTTTAACAATATTTAAAGGATTGTGAGCTTGTCGATGAATATCAAAGTGGATACATTGAGTTCCTTTAACAATATTTAAAGGATTGTGAGCTTGTCGATGAATTTCAAAGGGGATACACTGAGTTCTTTGAACAATCTTTAAGGGATTGTGGACTTGTCGATGAATTTCAAAGGGGATACACTGTGTTCCTTGAACAATATTTAAGTTCATACATTAGGTATACAGAAACGTACCTTCTTATCATCTAAAGCAAAGTTTAAAATGTTCTCGATCTGAGTAGTTGCTTCTTGAAGTTTCTGCGGGCTGATGTTAGCTGGATCGTCTGTGAGGAACATCAACTCCTCTGTAATTTTTTCTGCATGCTGAAAACTCTGAAAAATAGGCTGAATGAAGTTAAAACTGTATGAAATATAAGCTGGTGATTAATACCCTTTAAAGAAAGGTGGACAGATGTTTAAAAGTATGAAAAGTAGACAGAGTGGTGTTTAAAATGTATAAAAAGCAAAGAGGTACTTAATACCTTAGAAATAAAGAAAGATGCGTTCTCAAACCTGAACAATAGGCAGAACTTTGAAAAATAGACAGAGTTAAACTGTATAAAAAAGGCAAATAGATGCCTAAAATTCTTAAAAATAGACAGACAGAGCTTAAACCTCAAATGTCGAGGAGCCTGGAGATAGATTATCGCTGTTTTGAACTAAGAAAAGAGAGAATTATGTTGAAAAGGTGAATAACCTTTAAGAATTCTTACTAATAAGCTGTGAAGCTATTTGTGAAAAACATAGTTGATTAGTCCTATCTAATTTAAGTTAGTGAATTCACAATTTATTGTACTTACCTTCCAAGATTCGGTAAAAACAGTAATTAAGACTTTTAATGGCATGATACAGCTTCATTCATTTTTAATATATATACATATTTTTCATAATTTAAGAATCGGAGTGCTAAGCCTTCCTCAGAGGTTATATTGAAAAGTTTGGATATGGCTTCCTAAATGAGAACTTAAAAAATTATTTGACATCCATTTTTACACCCTAATTTGTTACTTCAGAGCGACTAACGTTTTGATACTTGTGTTTCTAAGTACTTAACAAAATACACTTAATTTAACAACATTAACAGTTATGGTTGGAATGCCTTTTACACACTGGCGAAGCATGCTTATAGTTATACTTGTCATAAGACATTAGTATTAGGCCTGTTATATTATTAAACACTACATACTTTATTTAATCCATTAGGGATTTCTAAGAATTAGAAGAGTGTTTCAAATAGCTTATATAAATGGTGTTCCGACCACTGTTTTTTTTTTTTCATCTCAGCCGCCTTGAAGAGCTTTGAATTGAGCGAAACGTATCGTCGGTAAGGGATATGACAAATATGGTGTGTTTGGAAAACTGCTAACTCTTGGAAATCCCCAAAGGGCTCTATTAAGAATATAGTGTTTAAAATGTATTAGGTCTAATACTAATGTCTTATGATAAGTAAAATTAGATTCAAGAATGTTTTATATTATTTTTGATATAGACTGAACTTTTTAAACACATGTATCGATCGATGTTCGATTAACTGATGACATTGTTCCTCGGTATTTTCAATCGGATTATCAAACTTTTAAAATATCGGATAGCTCCTGATGGAGCTGTAATGGCGAAATATTGAGTCAGTAAAGATGTAAGTCGTTATTTTGTTTATTTTGATGTTGTTTCTGACAACAATTGATCTTCCTATATTAACCATCCGCCTCTTCATTAGGACTAACTAACAACTGATCCGTTGAATATTGTTACAACACTTGGTCCGTTTGACATTTCTATCAGTTAACAGTTCCACATTACTAGTATAACCTAGTTATACTGAAATATTCCCAACAACATCAGCTCAACAATCATAAAGTTAACCCTAATGTTAAAAATGGGCAAATACACCAGTAAACCAAACCTAATAGAGTTTGATCTAAACAATCACAATTACCATTAATAACTTCGTGGTTAAAAACAACTGTAATAATATGATATACAAACCTCGTCCCTGCAGTTTTTAACCTGCGTAGGCCCCCATTCAACCAAGCCGCTGGTCAAAAAGTGACAAAACCTCTGAACGTACCCCTCTGATTCTGGGTGCAATACACCGTAGGGGCATTCCGTAACAGCTAACTTCCCGTGATCTGTTGCATTCCAGTACACAACTCCTTTGCCTGTTTCTTCTGATGAGGCAGGACACTGTGCTGAATTCAAAGATACCACCCCACAGGAATATTCATAATATTCGAAAAATACACACACACACATATCTCTAAAATTTTCAGTGAAGAAAGAACTGTTTGTTTAACATTGTTTCGTGGTAAACCTAATATGTGATATTAGTAGTATTGTTTAACATTGTTTCGTGGTAAGCTTAATATATAATATTAGTAGTACTGTTTAACATTGTTTCATGGTAAGCCTAATATGTAATATTAGTAGTATTGTTTAACATTGTTTCATGGTAAACCTAATATGTGATAATAGTAGTATTGTTTAACACTGTTTCGTGGTAAGCTTAATATATAATATTAGTAATACTGTTTAACATTGTTTTATGGTAAGCATAATATATAGTATTAATAGCTTGGTGACTAATTTTTTTGGATATTTCTAAACAGCATACAATATATAAATTAAACAAAACTCGGAAAATTCTATTTGCAATTTCCCATCATGTTTGAAATAGCCTTACAGTTGCTTGGAATCATTGTTAAGCAATTTTGAGATTAATAAAGTTAAACTCGTATTTTAAAATTTTTCTCTACTTAATTTTTAATGACAGCAGAAAAAGTCTTAAAAGGTTTCATTCCGTCGGGTTGGTCATGTAGTTTGACCAGTTCATTCCGTCAAGTTAGTCATGCCGTTTCACCAATTCAGTAAGATTATAATTCATCAAAAATTCCTACTACCTCATCTGGCTGGTTTATCAAATTACAATAAATGACCGTTATAAGCATGTAATGTACTTCCTACCTGGTACCTCGCACATGTCGCCATGGTAACCTAGAGTACAATAACAAGTAAACCTGTTGACCCCATCTTCACACCTTGATCCATGGAGACAGGGATTAGAGTCACACTCGTTTACGTCAACTTCACAGTGTTCGCCTTGGATACAAAGAAGTTCATCATCACCCACGTGATACTCAAGTTTAACTCACAGCCAAATACAACAAAGTTTTTACACTGTGCATTTTTAAAGGAAGAAATAAATGTGTGTTGCCACCGTTTCGGCAAAATGATCTTCATCGCCAACCATTGACTAGAAATGAATAATTTGTGAAAGATCTTAAATTTTCGATAATGATCTGCTTGATTGTTAACAGTAGAATTAATACCATAAATTTAGGTAGGCTTAAGTTCATGACTAAAAATTTGAATTCAAACCAGAAATTTAGGGTTAAGTTCATGGCTAAACATTTATATTCAAGACAAGAATATAAGGTTAAGTTCGTAGCTAAACATGTATATTCAAAACAGAAAGTTAGGGTTAAATTCGTGGCTAAACATTTATATCCAAACTAGAAATTTAGGGTTAAGTTCACGGCTAAACATTTACATTCAAAACAGAAATTTAGGGTTAAGTTCGTGGCTAAATATTTATATTTAATATGGATATTTAAGGCGAATTTCATGGCTAAACATTTATATTGAACCAATTACACTGTAAGACTACGTTCCTTAATAGTTGTTTCATCTTCCAAAGATGATTTTAACATTGGAATTACCAAAGAGGTCTATATGACATTGACTTTTTGACCACTTTTTCGTTCTTTTTTTTTTCAAACTATTTACATACCAATTTACTTATCAGCTCAGGACTTAATAGCATAATATTCACACACACACATACACAAACATAAATAAATGAAAATACCACCACTGTTGTAGTTCATCCCACTAATAATATATTTTAAATAGATAAAATAAGTGACATCACCCAATTATTATTATTTTATTTTTTTTTGGTGAATTCTTTACAGTAAAGATTGTAACAAGCAAAAACATAAACTTACTCAATATGATGCTATATGTATACCCCACTGGCAATAAATGATATAATAGGAGTATTTAACTTGAGAGTTGAACCAGTGTTTTAAAATATGTAACCTCTGGTCTACAGTGTCTATTAGATAACTTAAAACTTCAGATTTCTGCTTACTTTCAAGTCAGCCGCTAATTGATGTAAACCTAGAACTGTTACTAAACATACACCTACCTCCGTAACCAAGGCTACATTGACATGTAAACTGATTAGAAGTGTTGTGACACGTGCCTCCGTTGTGACAAGGGCTGGAGAAGCAAGCATTAAAATCGTGGCAAGTCCTGCCGTAGAACCCTGGGGCACAAGCACAAGTGAAAGTGTGGCTAGCAGAACTCTGACAAGATGCGCCATTTTCACACGGGGAAGGTCGTAAAGCGCAAGGGTTGAATACAGTACAGTTCTGGCCAGAAAAACCGATGGGGCATTCACAGGTGTAACTCTTGTTAGAAGTAGGCCTGCAGATCCCAAAGTTCTCGCAGGGGTTCCAGGAACAAAGGTCAAACTGATCACAATAGTCGCCATAGTAACCGATAGTACATTCACATCTGTACCCAGGGGCTTCATTGATCACGTAGCAGTCCCCGTTTTGACATATGTTCAACAGGCAGTCTGCAGTTTAAACGATATTGGTTTTAATGCTCCAACATAGAATATAGAAAATACTTACAAACAATAATACTATTTTAAAGACAATTATTATGGTGTGAACGCCATTTTTTCGAGCTGAAAAAACATGATTATACTTGTCATAAAACATTCACATTAAGCCTATTATAAATTTAACACTTAATTCTTTATCTAGTTTTTAGGGGTTTTTAAGAATTAGAAGAGTGTATAATAATAGTATTCCAACTACACTAATGTCGTCTTATCCATTGCTGATGACGCATTTCGCTCAATCCAGAGCTCATTAGGCCAACTGGGAAACAACACACATAGCAGTGATCGGAACATTTGTTACGACAAAATTCTTTATGTTGTGAATGCCTTTTCTAAGCTGGCGAAGCATGATTATAATTAACTATAATGTATAATGAAGAGGAAATTGATAATTGGTTTTTTGATACTCCAGCTATTCATTCGTCTGTGAACTTATAATGACTAATTATATGATTTAACTTTATAAAAAGAGTGTAAAATAACCTATTATATCGCTGGATGTATACGACGTTTATTAAATAATTGAGTTTTCATGTAGATTTTATTGAAACTGTTTATAGTTTTTCCACTCTCGCTTTCATTGGCAATACAGCATATATTTCATTTTAACAACTACGGTACTAATCTTTACGCCCTTCTTTAACCACCTTACTGATCTTTATGGCCTTAAATAATATTACTGATCTACTCACCCGTCTTAAACAATGTAATTCATTCTTCTTCAACAGTGAATCATTAGTGATATTTTCATATGTCCCTTTTAAACAATATTACTGATCTACTCGCCCGTCTTAAACGATGTAATTCATTCTTCTTCAACAGTGAATCATTAGTGATATTTTCATATGTCCCTTTTAAACAATATTACTGATCTATTCACCCGTCTTAAACAATGTAATTCGTTCTTCTTCAACAGTGAATCATTAGTGATATTTTCATATGTCCCTTTTAAACAATATTACTGATCTTCTCACCCTCTTGAAACAATGTTATTTACTTTATACTTTTCTTTAGCAATAGATAATTACTGATCTTCTCACCCTCTTGAAACAATGTTATTTACTTTATACTTTTCTTTAGCAATAGATAATTACTGATCTTCTCACCCTCTTGAAACAATGTTATTTACTTTATACTTTTCTTTAGCAATAGATAATTACTGATTTTCTCACCCTTCTTAAACAATGTTATTTACGTTACACTTTTCTTTAGCAATAGATAATTACTGATTTTCTCACCCTTCGTTATTCACTTTAAACTTTTCGTTAATATCAGATGATAATTGATCTTTTCATATGACCTTCTTAAACAATTACTGATCTTTTCACAATTTTTCAGCAATACTAACGTTCTTTTCACCCTTTTAAGATCGTCATTAATACAGCTAAGTCATTCCATAATTAAACAAACATTACGCATTGTTGTACAGAGTTTTGGATACATTATATTAAAATGATTTAGGAGCTTCTCTACATCGTTACAGTCCATGTCGCCACGTAAGGTCGTGTTCTATTTCACGATCGTGCATCTTGACATTAGTCCTGCAGGGTAGCTTCCATTGTAAAAGGTTTTATTGTATGGTTATCCTCTCTAAAGCACACCACTCCTCCCGGCAGGCTTTCCATGACAGTAGTTTCAAGCGCCCTCTTCAACTTTCAAATTTCACAGAAATCCGTAGGTGTTGCATCCGGCTACTTGATCGGTATATCTTCGTATAACATAAGTACCCATTTCATTCTCCAGTTGCTTAAGGTATATGACAGTTGAATAGGATGTATAGCTGGAAGTCTTATATTCGTTAACCTATACCCCATTGTCCTCGTTTGTTGATGAAGATGCTTTTGCCTGAGCAACTTTCGCTACTGACAGTTATGTTCAAATATTCTCATGTGTTACAAGACTCCGCACTTTGCTTACCACGGCTGAGATATGACTTGTTGCAGGTCTTTTTTAGGATGATCCTGGTTTCCCAACTTGATCCATATTTTTTGTTTTCCTGCCATTAAATACAAGAGATATTCCCGCCTTGGAAATTCTCAATCCTCGATCTGCTTTGTTTGTGTTTGTAGTTAAGCACAAAGGTACACAATGGGCTATCTATACTCTTCCCACCACAGGTATCAAAACCCGGTTTCTAGCGTTGTAAGTCTGCAGACATGCTGCTGTGCTACTGGGGGCGCCCTAATCTGCACACATCTTTATTATTTTAATGTATGAATATTTTTCGTTGGAAAGGGCTGTTGCATACCCTTCCCAAAAACATTCAATTTTCACTAGCATCACACTTCCTACAAAATGCCAAACAATATCAAAACGTAGTTCTGAAACATACTATACTACCTCAACTTTAATATCGGCCGTGATTGTCACATGACTTCAGGATTTCATATTCAAAATCGTTTTAATATAATGTATTAAACCCTCTGTAGGCTATACTTTTAACTTAAGACGTTTCATGGGTTTATATTGTTGTTTGGCCCTAGGGAGGTCTGATGTAATTTACTGGAAGTCAATTAATCACTGAAACGTTCTTGAATGTTTGTGAAGAGATTTGAGATTAAAAAATGAATTGCGCTAAAATAAGTTGACTCACGATTTTTGAGTTTGTCAGTAAGTTACATTGAGTTTAAAGTATTGAGATATTATTTGATGGATTTTGATAGCCGATTAGCTCAGATTTGGATTTTTTTTCTCGACAAAGTCATAAAATGTGTGTTGTACATTCTGTAGAAAGCGAAAAACCAGCGATTAATCTAAATTTTTACATTAGCATCTACTATGAATTTAGGCCTATCAGTTAACATTAGTTAAGCTAAAGTATAGAACGGAGAAATAAAACACTTCCGTAACCATTATGTCGATTGGACTTTGTATCCTGCTTTTTACTGAGTAATTAAAATAAAACCTCCGCATAATAAAAACTATTACTAAAGTAGATATATATGTACTTTAGTAATAGTACTGTTACGTCTCCGTTTGTTAATTGATTTTTCCGTAACTTCGTTCCGATGAAACTTTAGCGACACAAGTCCTTACTTAATAAAACTGGTTTATTCTTTCCGAATATAACTTTACGATACACTTAATTTCAATATTCGCGCTAAAACAAACACTG